TTCTGGTACCAGAGGATGACGTGGACACAGCACCCACTGCAGAAACCACAAAGCAGCCCCATTCACCTGCTGCATCCCAGGAGGATGAAACGACATCTTCCAGCGAGAGAACCTCGGTGAGTGCAGCTCTAGAAAGCCTCTCCAAAGGCAGGATGGGGCCACATCTCCTTTCCCTCCTCTCATCCAAGCACTGTGCCCATCCAGGATGGGCTAGGAGCCTCAGCTTGGTTCCTAGCCCATTCTACCCCATGCATCCTGAGTGTGTGATTACACATGTGTATATATTTTGCACTCCCACAGCACAGGTGACAGGAATGTCCCAGCTTGCACACGTGCACACATCCTGCATGACTCCCCAAGGTGGAACTGACATTGCCTCCTCTTTGTTTCCAGCCAGCCTCCTCCCCAGCTCAGAAGCCCCGGCTGCCTGCAGCCAAGGCCAAGCCAAAGAAGGCAAAAGGGCTCTTCAGCTGAAAGATTGCTGCCAACCCTGCTGAGGTCTCTGCTTCCCCCAGCATCCAAGAGAGGCAGTGCAGAGAACCCATGCATCAGCTGCTCTTCTCTGCATCTCCTCATGGACCCTGCCCAGGACACGGTCCCCTCCCAAGATGTCTCCAGTTGGGGAGATGGAGCTCCTTTCTTCAACAGTGTTTCAGGAAACAGCTCTTCTAACTCTTCCCTCGTGCAGAGTTTGCCCAGGCTTCCTCTCATGGCAGAGCCAGTGCTGGACCTGGGAGAAGTGGGAGGGGTGCTGCCAGTGGCTGTGGGACAGCTGGGGCTCTGGCAGAGCTGTGGGGTTTGGCTGCTTTTGAGTGGGTTTTCAATAAAGGGCTGTGTCTGGGTGAGATTCCCTCTCCTGCTCTGTCCCACCAGGCCTGTAGTGTTGAGGAAGGGATGTAACCTTTGGTGCTGCTGGGTCCCCCTCAGGCCAGTCCTGATGTCCCAGGGGCTTACAGTGACTCTGGACAGTGAGGTGACAGCAGCTCATTGCTGTGGCACTGCACACAGCCCCCAGCCGTGCTGTGCCTCACCCTGAGCAGCAGTACGTGTTGTGGGCTGTGCACCAGAGGATGCCCAGATCACGGGGACACAGCTGGGGGGCTGGAGCCTGTCTTGTCCCATACCAGGACACACACCCTGTGTGCTGGTGCCTGCAGAAGCAGGCTGGCAAAGGCCCTGGATAGGCTGAGGGACACCCTACATCTGCAGGCACCTCCACCATAGTTACTAGGCAGGTGATACGGGGTTGACCCATGCTTTGGCCTCCAAGGAGCAGGAGACAACCAAAACATTAACAAACTGAATGCTGCCAGGCCTGGGAGCAGCCCTGGAGCAGGCTACAGATGCTCCCTGGACACAAAACACCACTTCCATCCCTTCACACTCCATCCACCCATCCATCCATCCATCCATCCATCCATCCATCCATCCATCCATCTTTCCACTCCTGCTCTCCTCTTCCAGCCCTTGTGTCCACATGCTTCCTTCAGGCCTGGGACTTCATTCCCGTGCCCCAGCCAGGTCCCAAAACAGCAGGCAGAGAGCAGGCAGCAGGCAGGCTGCAGCCCGTGGTGCTGCCCTCCTGGGACAGGGACCCATGCCCCCAGCTGCCCTGGTCCCTGGGGCTGGGCCAGCTGCAGTCATGCTGCCTGTTCTCCTGGGCAGCAGGGGGAAACAAAAACATCCGGAGCAGTGCCTGTGTCTGTGGAAGGGGAATGAAAGGGCCTTTGCTGGGCCACAGCCGACCGGTCCCAGGGTGAGTGCCACCAGTTGCTTTTTATATTTCCTTTCTGAGGGAGCAGCGTGCAGGGCAGGGTGGGTGGTGGGGAGGGAAAGCCATGGGATGGGGAGCTTGTGCCGACTGCTGTAGCTTATGAATCCTGCATTTTCCCATCTGCAAACATCTTGTCTTGGCAGCTTTGAGTCTGCCTGCTGGGAGCTTGCCCCCAGGGAGGGTCCTGCTGCTAGCTGAAGGTAGGACCAGGGCAGCAGGAGCTTAGCAGCTTAACAGTTTCCTGTATCTTCTGTCACCAGGCTGTCCCTGGTGCAGCCCCTGCTCCATCCATATGGACTCCATCTCTGTCACAGGAGCTGCTCTGTTGTGAGCCTCGTCCCTCAGCTCTGTGCTGGCTCTGGGGTTTGTGCTGTTCCCCCATGCCTGCCAGCACGTTCAGCAGGAGTGCTTATCACCCCAGTGAGGGCATCTGGCTTGTCTATCCCTTGGGGTCTGAGGAGACATCACAGGGAGAGGCAGGGCTGAACAATCCCAGCCTGGCTGTGCCAGTGGCTGGTGGACTCTGTAGGGGAGAAGTGGGTGGTGCAAACCAGCACCTGCATCCCTGGGTCATTCCTGTGAATTATCGTGTCTCTGCTTCTGCCTGGGGTACTCAGATCAGGGGAGCCAGTCCCAGGATGCTGCAGAGATGTTGCTCATGAGCCCTGCCCCGCTGCAAATTCTCTGTGGCGTGTCCAGCAGCCCTGAAGACCTGCTGCAGGGACAGATCTTGTTCCATTCACCTCTCTCCCAAGGCAAGAGGAGGTGGGGATGCGGGAGCATGGATGGGGGGTAAATAAGAGCAGGAGAGTGAAGACAGTGGGAAAAAGAGCTTTGCCAATGTCCCCCAGGGATCCGCAGGGACCCTGGCCCTCAGGACTCCGGCATGGGGCCACTGGTTCCTCCCTGGCCCAGGCTGCTGGCAGCGCCTGGGAATGTCACTACACATTGTCCCATGCTGTCCTGCTGGGGTCTCCTTCAGTGTCCCCACCCCCTCCTCCCTGGAGCCAGCTGGATTTGAGCTCCCGACACACATTAAAGGCCACAAGTTCGGCCTCGGCCTCCATAAATTTGATTCCATAAATATTAGTTTTCGCAGGGTTTAATGAAGCCGTTATGCTGGGCACGGCCCAGCACCCCGACCCGTGCCCTTAATAAGGGCTCTGTGGCCTCGATTAAAGGGACCTTTCAATCGCTGTCAAGTATTTTTAGAAAAGGAAAAGAAAAAAAAAAAAAAGAGAGAGAGAGAGAGAGGGAGAGAGAGAGAGAGAGAAGAAGACGACCAAGGCAGCGAATAGGGAGAGGAAAATCCCAAACCCGTGCCGTGCAAAAATAGAGAAATAGCACCACCTAGACTGCCTGGCTCGGCTCCGCCGCCCGCTCAGCCTGCGCAGCGCCCAGCTCCGGGCAGCCCTGGGAGCCCAGCACGGCTGTGCGGGATGCTGCCCTGCTGCTCGGGGCAGGGACAGCGGGATGCGCTGCTGGGCACAGCCGAAGGGCAGAGGAAAGAGGCACTGGGGCCCTATGGGAATGCAGGTGGGAGCAGTGCGTCCTGGCGTCCAGGCCAGAAGTGCCTGAGAGTGGCCGAGTGTTGGGGGAAATGCCACGTGAACAGCCACTGCACCTCTCCCACTGTAGCAGCAAGGGTCCCTTCCATCAGTTGCCCAAGCAGGAGTCCCCCTCCCCAGGCAAATTTTCCCCCTTAAACACTGGTTATCCCAGCCCTGTCTCAGCCTCCAGCTGCCTCCCCGTACAGCCAGCTTGGCTACCCTGTTGTGCCTTATGTCCCTGTCCCACTCGGCCCTATGTGCCCAAAAGGCTTTGCCTGGCAGGAGAACTGGCTGACGTTGGGAATGCTGCTTAGGAGAGCTGATGGACTCTGCACCCAGCCACAGGGCACTGCCACTGCTTGCTGTAGCCACAACCAGTGCACAGTGCCACGGCCCCTGCATGGGCAGGAGCTGCTGTCACCAGCAAACCCAATTCCCTGTCTTCCAGCCTGGACCTCCATGGGACATGGATAGTGTCACCAGCAAGGGCAGGGCTAGGCTGCTAACTGTGAGCCTGGAGCTGCTGGGAGGGGGACAGCGGCCAGGGACATGCACACTGCATGCTGGCAGGCTGCAGGGGTTATTTGGAGGTCTGGGTTTGTGACATTGGCATTCATAGGGAACTCTCCCCGGGGAAGTGCTGCAGCCTCCAGGTGCAGTGCCATCCCAGATCATCCTGCTTCACAGTCTTGTGATGTGCAAAGTGGGAAGCTAGGCTCCTTTTGCTGGGGGTACAAACCACCCTGGAGGATCCTGTAAATCCAGTCCAGGGTCCTCAGGGTCTAATTTTCCTGTGCTAGTGATGCACAGAGAGTTGTGTCCCTTCTGCATCCCTGAGAAGCCAAGGGCAGGGGTGGAGAATGGTGCTGCGGAACATCCCCTCTGCTTTCTCTGCTGATGCCCTTAGGATGCTCCACTGGAAGGATCAGTGTAGAAGTGGGGTGGCCTGGGGCTGCTGGCCAGACACCCTCGCTCCATCATGTGCAGGAACAGTGGGACAGTGTATCTCACCATCCTGCTCAGTGGCAGGTCTTCACAGAGGCCCTGGGCACTGCTTATGAAAACCAGTACAAACCCTGATGGGCTGTGGCTACTGAGTGTGAAAACCTGATGGAGACACCTCTGGCCAGCTGCACTTTGCTTGCAGCTCCTGCAAAGGAAATGGTCAGCTGGGAGCATTAGATAGCAGCATCCCAAATCTGTGGGTGATGCTGGCTCCCCAGCCTGCATCCCTCTTGCCCAGGTTGCTTGGTCCTGCTGAGAGCAGCAAAGCCCTGCAGCCAGAGATGGCTGTCTGGCTGGGCTATTCCAGCCTGGCCACTGTGTATCCCTGTGAGTGACCTGTGCCCTGCGCTCACAGAAGAGCTGGAGAGGGAACATCCCTGCGGGAGTTTGTGTGCGTGTGGGCATCCCGAGGCACTGCCTCACCTGGGACGATCCTAGGGAACCAGAGTGTGTTCAAGTGCACCCATGCCGGACCCCTCCCCGGCACACAGCTGGGGGAGAACCGGGGGGGGGGGCCCTTCAAACCCTCGCTCCTGAAATCAGGGTGTTATATTTACTTTCCCCTTTTGGCAGCTAGAAGGGGAAGCCCATCCCAGCCCCTCATTGTTGTCTCAGCGAGTTAATCAGATGCCATAATCCTGTTGTGGAAATATCGGGCCTCCCTGGAAACAATGGGGAGCGAGAATATTGTGGTTAAATTTCAACCAGCTGCCTCCCTGCTCTGTTTGATCCCCGCCCGCAGGCCCGGGCCCCTGGCGAGCAGGCGGCGCGGCGGGGGCCGGAGCCCCGGGGGTGCCACCCCGCGCCCGCTCGGCCGCTCGGGAGCCCCCGCAGGACGCCCCGCCAAGGGGGGCGAAGGCTGTGAGGGGACCGGGCGCACCTTGGGGCGGCGGCGGGGCTGCCCCGGGGGGCAGGTGGCGGCGGGCACCCCCGGTGGGGTGGGCTGCGGGGCTCGCAGGGGGGAGGAGGCTGCGGGCGGCCCGGGGCAGGTTCCACGGGGAGGAGGCGAGAGAGGGAGGGCGCTGGGAGGCTGGGACACGGGCAGGGTGCGGTCCTGGCGGTTCCCGGTCCCGGATCTCTTCAATTTCCCCTCTCACTCCTGCCCAGGGAGCCGAGGCAGCGGCGGCTCGGGCTCCGGCTCCAGCCTCGCCGCGCTGACCGCCGAGGCGCAAACCGCGGAGGGCTCCGGCAGCGCCGAGCCCCGCGCCCCGCGCCCCGCAAGCGGCCGCTCGCCTGCCAAAACAAACGGCCCTTCGCTATTTATTGCCGCCGCCGGGCCACGGCAGCTCAGAGCGGGCCGACGCCAGCTCGCCGCACCGGGCAGCCGGAGCGCACCCGCGCCGGGCAGCCGCCGCGCCCCGCTGCTGCTGGCGCCGGCCGTGCGCGGCTGCGGGCCGGGCAGGGTGGTGGGCAGCCGCCGCCGCCCGCCCCGCAAGCTCATCCCGCTCGCCTACAAGCAGTTCAGCCCCAACGTCCCCGAGAAGACGCTGGGGGCTAGCGGCCGCTACGAGGGCAAGATCGCGCGTAACTCGGAGCGCTTCAAGGAGCTGACGCCCAACTACAACCCCGACATCATCTTCAAGGACGAGGAGAACACTGGCGCCGACCGGCTCATGACCCAGGTACGGCACCGCTGCCGCCCGGTTCTACCCCCGCGCCGGGCATCTGCGGGCACCGGGGCTGTCCCAGAGAGCCCTGCTAGCCACTCTCCGGGCACCGTGTGGGCCCCGAGCTGCGGCTTCCCCGTCCTATCCCTGGCATCCCGGTGCCGGGTCGGGGCTGCCGGCGTGCAGCGAGTGCATCTCCCTTCGTCGGGCGCTCCGTCCTTCGGCTGCGCTGTGCGCGACGGACAGCGCGCTGCGCCTTGGGACGGCAGCACCCTGCTCCCGGAACCGGCAGCACCTTGTCCCCCGAGATGGCAGCACCCTGCCCCGCTGCTCCTCGGAGCCTGTGGCGCTCGTGTCTTGCTGCACCCCGAGGAACGCCCTTGTGACTCCCGAGCTGGCAGCACCCTGCGTTGCTGCCCCTCAACTCTCGTCCCACTGTTGCCCAGGCTGGCATAACCCCGCATTCCAAGCTGGCAGCAGCCGGCCCTGGTGCCCCTGAGCTGTGCCACGCTGCCCCCGATCCGGCAGCATCCTCCCACATCCCCTCGATCCGGCAGGGCTGTGCTGCGCTGTTCCCTGGGCAAGCAGCACCCCGGCCCGTGCAGGCATCCTGCCCGTGCCCCTCTACTCTGCCTGCCCACTGGCAGAGCAGGCAGGCTGCCCCTTGGATCCGAGGGACAGACCAGAGCCTGGCGTGCTGCTGTGTCCAAGAGTGCTCTTGCTGACCTTGTCCCCACCCTGCCACTGAAACCCTCGGTGCCCCCTCTTCCTGCATGTCTCGTGTGGGATGGTGCCGGGTGCTCAGTGGGAACTGCTTGCTGTGCTCAGGGCTGGGGACAACCTGTTACTGCAAACGCCTTGTTGCAGTCAGCTCACAAGTACTCTGGGCCAGCAGGAAAGATGGGGGGGTGGACGGCACAGACGACAGCAGAGGAGGGGGGGTGATGCTGGACGAAGGTTACTCTGTGTTTTAATATTGCCAGGAGAATGCCTGAGGGTTTCAGGAATGCAGATAAGGAGCCGCACGGCCTTGCTAAGAAACCTGGCTACCAGCCTCAGCAGGGTTACAGCCTGAACGAGCTCCTGGGGGAAGCAGAGGGGAGCTGGGCTGCCCTTCTGCCCACTGCACCCCCTGGTCAGGGGCTGGCAGGTGGGTGAACATGTGTGACTATGATAGTGGGCACTGAGCAAGGCCCTGGCCATAGTGTCTGACCAAGGCGTTCATAACACTGGGAGGAGAAGCTTCTTGGGTGCTGGCTTGACAGCTCTGCAACCCCGTGTGCCCTGAGAGCAGGTCCCTTAGGGCAGGGACCATAGTCCAGGCTGTTTTCAGGCTGGGGACTGTAGCAGAGGGACTGGGATACCCTGCAAGGCAGCAGTCTTGGGGAGTTACACAAGTTGTGGTTGCTGGTGCCTGGAGCCCTGGGGCTGGGCTGTAACCTGCCTCCCCTAGGGAACAGCTTCAGGGATATTTGAGGAAGCAGAGAGCTCCTCTGGTCCATACATCGGGGAAGTGCATGACTTCATTGGAGGCAGGAGAATGCTTCTTGCTGTGTTTTCTCCTGAGAGTGCTCCCTCCACCTTCTGTAGCCCAGCCAGTTCCCCTCAGCACACCTGGGAGAGGGAGATCTCCGTGTCCCTTGTGCCAGCCTAACATTTCATGCTGTACCACTGCCTTGTTGGCTGAGTACCTAGAAGCATCCTGGTCGTCTTGGACTGCACAAATAAGGGTTCTTACTCCAGCAGGGTCCCTGGCCACCACACATCCATGCACAGATGGGTACCACCGTGCCTTGGGCAGCTCTGCAAGGAATTGTTCTTCTTCCTATGGAGGTAGCATGATTTCTGGTAGCTTGCTGCCATCCCACAGCCCTGTGGGATTGTCCTGTGGTCCCTGGCTGGAGGAGATCCCCCCAGATATGGCAACTCTAGCTCTGGCACCATGTCCTGTGTTGCTATGGGTTGGGAAAGGCCATTGACCCAACTCCTTGTCCCTTCCCCCAGAGCACTGGCTTTTACTGCTGTTGACTCACTTCAAACCTGTTTTCTTTCCCCAAGTCCAAGGGTCTGGGTGTCCCAGGCAGCCGGAAGATGTCGCCTGCTTAGAGGAGTGGGTAGTGCTGCTCTCTGCCCGCCTTTCCTTTATCGTTTCATCTTCCTCAAGAATTCCAGTGTGTTTGCTCTCACTGGTCCCACTCGGAGGTGCTGAGATAAGGCTGGAGGCAGAACCCGCCTCACCTCTCCCCAGCAGCCTGGCCCAGGAATGCCATGGGTCCCCTGCCCCCATGGAGTCCCAAACCCAGCCTCTCCCTACCCCAGCCATCATCCCTGGCAGCCACTGCTTGTCCAACTGACACGGAGACCATCCTTGCAGTGGTGAGGAATCTCTCATGAAGACCTTGGGGTAGGACTTTTGGCTTCCTTTGGGGGAAACCTCCCTTCAGGAGGAGACGCCAGTAAGACCCCTCTTCTCCTGGCCAGGCTCTGGACATGGGAGTAGCTGTGGCCAAGCACACTCCATTCACAACACCTCTGCTGAGACTGTGGTCACACACGAGTGTCTTTCATACTTCCCCTGAGATGACTCTGGGGTCCCTGCTGAATGCACCCCATCTTGGAGCTCTGTCCTGCTGCTTTCCCTAAAGCAGTTTGGCTTGCCCCACAGGACATGGTTCTGTCCCCGGTAGGGACACAAAAAGGGAGATGCAAAGGTTGGGCAGAAGGTGGGGGCAGAACTTCTTTGCTCAGCCCAGCCCAACATGCCCATGATCTTCACCATGAGGTGCATGGGACAGCAGAGCTACCAGCTCAGTGTGGTCATATGGGGCCTCATTCTTCACGTGAGCTGGGAGTGCCTGGTGATCTGCACCACTACAGGGACAAGCTGTGCCCTCCCTGCGATCACCATCAAACACAGAGCCCGTGGACAGCCAGCCCATATTTATGAATTTTCTGGTCCCTGCCCACCTGTTCGTACAGGCAGCAGAGCCCTGCCCATCCCTACCTACTTCCTGCAGCTCGTGTGTGCCCCCTGACCACTGCTGCCTGCTCCTTTCCCATCCCTGTCCATCCCTGCCTTTTGTTGTCTCTCTGCCTCCTGTGCCTGCTCCCTGCACATCCCCACCTGCTCAGCCTTGCCTATCACTGCTTGCTCCCTATTTACTTTCCCTCACCCTTGCCCGTTTCCTCCTCATAGTTGCTTCTTCCCTGTCGATCCATGGTTGTTCCTCCTCCGCTGCTGCCCTGCTGACCATTTCCCCACCCGTTAGTACCTGCTTCCTCCCCGACCTGCTGGTTCTTGTCCATGGGTACCTGCTCCCTGCCGGTCCCCGCCGGTCCCCTCCCGCGCTCTGACACCTGCTGGCCACCGATGGCACCGGCAGAGCCGGGGACAGGCAGCTCCAGGGCTCTGTCCCTGCCTGGGAGAAAGGCTTGCACAGTCTCGTTGTTTTTGTGCGTGCAGGGTGCCCCTGGAGGACAGAAAAGCTGGCAGTGAGGGACGGAGGGGTGCCCAGAGTGCTGGCACGGTAGTGGCAAGGGAATGTCTGGAGTGATGGCTGGGGGACGCAGGGAGGCTTCAGGGATTCCCTCCTCACTGCCAGTGCTGAACTCCCTTGCTGCGGGGTCCCGCTGGGGCCGGGGACCTTGGGAACAGCTGTCACCTGTGCCAAGTGGCACCACGGTGGTGCTGGACGGGGACAAAAGTCACTCTCCTCCCTATTCCTCCTCCCCTCACCTAGCAAACTGTTTGTCCAGCACCTTCCTGGCTTATCTCCCCACGCCCAGAGAGCTGTGGGATGACGGCAGGCCTCATGTGGGGCAAAGGCCTGCCTGGCACTGCCCTTCCCAGGGCCTGGACCCTGCCAAGTGAGAGCAGGTTTCCCCAAGAGCAGCAGTGCCCACCTTCCTGGGATGGGAGCAGGTGCTTGGGGATAGGGTGAGGACCCACATTTTGGGTCCCTGCAGAAGCAGTGTTGGGGCATTTCTGAGGCTGGGGATGTAGCCAGCATCAGGTTTTAAAGCCCTGGCTCATTCTTGCTGTAACTGTCTCAAGACCTATGACATGCTACGGTGGGGAGCTCCCGAACTGAGCTGGGCATCATGCAGAAATGTCCCCAGCAGTGGCTGTGTTTTAAGCTGCTGTCCAGTCATTTCATTTAATGCTTCCCAGGACTGGCTTTATGCATGACCATGAATGCTCTGTCCCCTACCTTGATTGTATGGGACTCCTTGTTTCCTGGGGAATGGCAGTGAGAGAAGCCCTGGAGTCTTTTACTTCTGTGGAGGCAGAGCTCTCCCACCCAGCAAGCACTGGGCGGTGACAACGGGACTCCTGATCCAGCTGGCTGCCTCAGAACCAGCTGTACCTGTAGGTGTGAACCTCAGCCTTTGGAGCCGGTGTAAAAACGCCCCAGTCTCAGCTTGATTCTTCAATTGCTTTAAGTTTTATGCAGTTTCACTTGGTGTGATTCTTAGGGTGGGCTGTGCAGGGCAAGGAGTTTGATCCTATGGGTCCCTTCCAGCTCACTCAATTCTATGATTCTTCAGGATGTCACAGAATCTCCTTTCTGGGCTGCACAGCCCTAGTTCATTCACCTGGTTTTCTGTAGAACTTCCCATATTCTTTCCCTACAGTTTTTCTATATTTCCTTTATCCCTTTAGCAAGGGACCACAAGCTGGGGCTGTACTTCTGCAAGCCAAGAACACAGAGTTTTGATCTTTCCCTGACCATCCCAGCTGTGGCTGGGGGCTGTGGGGCAGGGCAGGACTGTGAAACAGGCATCCCTCTGCTTGCTGGAGAGGACTGCCACGGACACCTGCTTGCATGGGTGACTATGCGACCATGAGGTCTGGGGTTTTAAGATCTGCTGCTGTTCCTCAGCCCAGGATTTACAGCCCTTGTGGTGCAGAGAGGTGAAGGGGGCTTCACTCCACATTCTTTCTGTTCCAGCACAACAAAGCCCTTGGAACAGGGTTGGCACTCCCACAGGAGCAGAGACTGGCTGAAGCTGTGGGGCTGCCCAGTGCTGTGTCCTGTTACACAGACTTAAGGAGCCATACTAAGCAGAGCTGTGTTGAGGACTGGGCAGGTTGTTTAATTTCTGCCTGGAGGCAGCCCTAGGGTCCCTGGGACCTCCTCCCAGGCAGGAAGCAACAGGATTGAAGCTCCTGTATCCTCCTCCTGTCAGATGGGAGCTGCTGGGGTACAGTTAGCAGGGGACAGGTGAGCAGAGAGGGTGTTTCAGCCCAGCCCAGGCTGCGTTGCCCAGCAGGCTCTCAGATGAGCCTGGGGCTGGGGACAGAGGGAGGAGAAGGGTGCCCTGGTGGGTGCACTCTCCTGTGCCCAATGGTGGGGTGTCAGCCTCTGCAGGGAGTTTGGAGAGCATGGGGTAGACAAAGCACCTTGTGTTCTCACATCTTCCTCTGCTGGACCAGCCCCCAAGGGCCTGAGGATTAATGGAAGCATGGTGGGATGCAGCCTGCCAACCAGACAGCTAATTCCTCCCTCCAAAAAGCTTTTACTGACTCTGTCCCTCTACCCCGCAGCGCTGCAAGGACCGCCTGAACTCGCTGGCCATCTCTGTCATGAATCAGTGGCCAGGGGTGAAGCTGAGAGTGACGGAGGGCTGGGATGAGGATGGGCACCACTCGGAAGAGTCGCTACATTATGAGGGCCGAGCTGTGGACATCACAACCTCGGACAGGGACCGCAACAAGTACGGCATGCTGGCTCGCCTGGCCGTGGAGGCTGGCTTCGACTGGGTCTACTACGAGTCCAAGGCACACATCCACTGCTCCGTCAAGTCAGGTAGGTCTGGGCTGGGGGGCAGTGAGCGGAGCTGGGGGCCAGACCCCCTCTTGCAGCATACCTGGGGAGCCTGGCTGGCTGGGGTGCTCCTGCAGGGGGTGCCAGCTTTTGCATCCTGGTTCCTCTATCTGGGGCAGACAGTCAGGTGGGGAGTGAGTCACACACCTGTGGCCAGCCAGTACAATGGGGCAACTTCCCAACTGGCTCCCACAGACCTACATCTTGACCCACCCTCTCTACCCTCTTCCTTTTATCAGCCCACATCACTTTGTCCCCCAGTGTGTCCACTGCCCCTGTCTCCCCTGCCTCTGCCCTTGCAGTCCCTTAGTGCCCATGCTCAGCCTCATCCAGCCCTGCCCTGCTCCACTGCTGGCTGCTTTTGAGCTTCTGCTGTCCCAGCAGCATCTGTCCATCCCTGCCCAGCCAGGGGTGTGGTCAGGGACATCCACAGGGACAGGCCAGGGTACCCTGGGGTCGGCTCTTGGCTGTGCAGCACCATCTGCGGAGGGGAGCAGAGCTGGGTGGTGCTTTGAGGGACGCTCTCGTCGCTGGTGGTGTTCGCTTCGTGCTGCGCGGTGCAGCGGCGGCGGCAGGGTGGAGGACGGGGCGAGAGCTGCTCTCAGGCCGTGCCCGCGCTGCGGAGGGGATCGCGTGGGCTGCGAGCCGCCCGCAGCCCGGCAGAAGCGGCGTGCCCGGGCCGCGGTCCCGGCGGAGCGCGGGCTGCAGAGGGCAGCAGCGCCCCGCGCACGGGGTGTGCCCGGGCGGCCCCGCGCCTCCGTCCCGGGCTCCGCTCGCACGGCACTGTGCCTGTCCTACCGCCCTAGGCCGCAGCCCGCGGCTCGACAGCCCCAGACGGCAGCCGGGCCCCCCGCGCTGACCCGCTCCCCGTGCTGATGCCAGGACGGGCACAACGCCGGCCGGCGATGGAAGTGGGGCCACCGCGCCGCAGAGAGGGAGTGATGCGCCCCCGGAGAAGAGGGACAAAGCGTGGCCGGAGGACCGGGACTCCCGTGCCCCGGGGCACCCTGTGGGGCCGGCAGGAGGAGTGGGGCCAGGCTCCGAAGCAAGGACCATGATCCCACAGCTATGAGGCTGGCCAGAGGAGTGGGGCTGTGCCCCCGGAGAAAGACAGAGGCTTTTGAATCGTGGGATGTTCCCCTTGGACCAACTGAAGAGGGATGTCATAACCCAAGCAGCAGACTGGGGCCCTGAGGCCCTGAAGGGCTTCTAGAGGCTGGTCATATTCCCCTCACTCTGCAGCAGCTCCTCAGGGCTCTGGGTCCCCCATCTTTTTCCCCAAGGCCATGGGCAACCCAAGAGTGTGTGGTGGAGGCTGTGGGGTACACATCCTGATCCCCTCAGAACTGTGTACAGAGGGCAGCCGGGCTGCTCCTGCCTCTTAGTAAATGGCTTTTATTTTTGTATGGATGGCCACGTGGCCTGTTGTATGTATTGTGTCTCCTCGGGTCCTTCCCTGCACCCACGTACCCCTCCATGCCCAGCACCTATGCCATCCACTTCTGCCAGGCACCCCTCTCACCCTCCTGCTCTGCTGCCTGCCAGGGGATGCAGAGTGCAGGATTTGGGACCTGGCCTCCGGGGCAAGGACAGGGCAGACACTGCACCTCTTCTGAGCAATAAAAGGATTCTGTCCCAGAGATGCATGCCTCTCTTCATGGGCTTGGGGGCTGGGATTTGGCTCTGCCCAAACCTGGGGAGTGATGGGGGCAGTGCCATCTGGGAGGGCACATTCAGGGGTTAGATGAGAGAGCTGGGAGAGGGCCCAGAGAGGTGGCTTAGAGCTCAAGGATGGAACTGTGCAGGGCTAGGAGCAGGACCCTGAGGTGAGATACCACTGGCAGAGGGTGGGAGGGGTATCACACAGACAATAACTTGGGAGTTTCTGGGACTTGGGGGAACAGTGCTGCTGGTGAAGCTAACCACCATTCCTTGGGAAGCCAGGGTTCCCCTGCTAAGTGCCAGAATGGGCCTCTGGTAACACTGCATCTGGGGAGGGGCAGGAGCTTTGTGCCACCATCCCAGGAGACAAGCCCAGAGTGTGTGGGTCCTTTGCCCTGTGGCAGCCACTAGGGAAGCCCTACCCAGGAGGCTGGTAGCTTTTGCACGATGATGGCCACAGGTTGTGACAACTCCCTACAACCCAGAGAAGCAGGAGCTGGCTGGCATCAGTGGTGCAGGGGTGAGCAGGTGGGAGAAGGGAGCAGGACTGCCGCGTGGGGTGGAGGGGCGCTGCAGTGCTGTGAAACTGCTGCATCCTGCTCTGTTCCTCGCAGCATCCTCCCAGGCAGAGCCCAGCACCAGCACTGCAGGGAACAGGGATGCTGTGGGGGTATGCAGAGTGAGACCAGGCACTCTGCTCCTCAGCCTGCCACCATCTCAGGGCCCTGCCTCTGTTTTTTCAAGCTTCAGGTGCCCCATGGCAGTGTTTTGCACATTTCAGGCTGTGGTTGTGTCCCACTCCCCCCTGCCTATTTTGGGGTTTGGGAGCTGGCTCTGTACAGCAGGCTCAATGCCCTGGGACCATGCTGGAGTGCCCAGGTGCCACCTCAAGTGGCATGATGGCTGGGGGATGAGGTGCCTAGGGGACGTTGGTGGCCAGGGGTGTGTAGGAGACAAGCTCACACTGGTGATGCCAGGGCAGGGTTATGTGGGGGTGGGCAAAGCGGGGCACACTGGGAAGGTGTCTGTGCACAGTGGAAACGTGGTGCTGAGGGTCTGGCTGATGGGTAACCCTGCTGTCCTCTCTCTCCCTGCGCAGAGCACTCAGCCGCTGCGAAGACGGGGGGCTGCTTTCCCGGGCGGGCGCTGGCAACGCTGGAGGACGGTGCCCAGACGCCACTGTGGGCACTGCGCCCAGGCCAGCGAGTGCTGGCAATGGACGGGGCAGGCAGGCCCACCTACAGTGACTTCTTGGCTTTCCTGGACAAGGAGCCCCGTGCCCTCACCACCTTCCACGTCATCGAGACCCAGGAGCCGCCGCGGCGCCTGGTCCTGACGCCCACCCACCTGCTCTTTGTGGCAGAGAACGCGTCGGCGCCCGCCGCCCGCTTCCGTCCCATCTTTGCCAGCCTGGTGCAGCCGGGACACTTCGTGCTGGTGGCGGCTGGGGGGGGCAGCTTGCAGCCTGCTGAAGTGGTGCGGGTGTGGGACCGGAGGGATGTGGGAGCCTACGCCCCGCTGACACGCCATGGGACACTGGTGGTGGACGGCGTGGTGGCCTCGTGCTTTGCTCTGGTGCAGGAGCAGCAGCTGGCACAGATGGCATTCTGGCCGCTCCGGCTCTACCACAGCCTGGTGGGGTGGCCAGGGGTGCAGGGGGATGGTGTGCACTGGTACTCAGGGCTGCTCTACCGCCTGGGCAGGCTGCTCCTGCCCCCTGACAGCTTCCACCCACTGGGAATATCCCAGGCGGAGAGCTGAGGGTGCACCACGGCCCCAGCCAGCACAGCTGGTGGGGGTGGTGGCTGCAGGGTGACTCGCTGGGGGCCAGCACCCCCTCCCAAAGCTGGGTGCCCATGGGGAGCTGCCTCCAGCCCTGCCTGCTTGGGGTACAGCCACCTCCTGGTTGGGGGGCACCAAAGCTCCGTGGTGTGCCTCCTCCATGTTCACCATGTTCACCACCCCCTCTTCACCCCCTGTTCCTGGGGACAGGAGGGAGGCATGAAGGGTTTCCCCCGGGACAGGGGCTGCCCCTGGCTGGATCCACATGCTGCTATGTGTGTGTGTGTGTGTGTGTGTGTGCAATGTGTGTGTGTGTGCTGAATTAGCTGAGAGAGGTCTGAATGGGAGGGGGAAGAGGAGAGAGCCCTGGCTGCTCCACTGAGGTTCCCAGCCTGTCTGCACCCAGTGGGGAAGTTTTGGGAGAGGAGCCCAGGGCCCTTTGCTAGCAGCCTGGGTAGGAAGGCAGGCAATGCTATTTCCACCCCTGGGACATGGCAGCTGGAAGGAGGGTGACCCAGGTACTGGGACTGTGCCTTGTCCTTAGCCCAAGTACAGGGCCACCCATACAGGCAGGGGTGGGGGGTCTGGCACAGCTCTGGCATGAGACCTCCGACTTTGTGACACAAGTTCCACTGGAGCGAGAGACTGGGGAGTGAGATGCCATCTCTGCCCAAAGCCAGCACAGAGGCACCCAGCTGGGCATCCTGTGGGGCTGCTGTGACAGCATGGGGCGCTCTGGCTGGCAAGAGGGGCTGCAGAGGCAGACACATGGGCAGAAGGGTGCAAATGCCAGCCAGGCATAGACACACTGGTAAGAGCAGGGGTGGGGAGAGTCAGGGCTGCAACCCCAGCCTGCTGGAGCCTGAAGAAAGAGGCAGTGGAGACAAAAACCTTTCCCCACCCCAAAGCTACAAAAACTCTTCAAGTTTCATGCCCTGGCTGGCCTGACCTCCCCAAGTCGCCAGTACCCCAAACCCTCAGGGTAATTCATTGCTGCTCACCCACTCCTGGGACCTGGGGAGAGTCCCATCAGAGCTGCAGCCACAGTTCCCCCACTCCAAATCCTAGCTGGAGCCTCAGCCCCCCCTAGCTCCACACGAGTGGAGGGGGCTGAGGGAGGCAGTGACCCGTGTCCCCCCTGTAGCATCACGCGTCTTTATTTATTTATCTGCTCTTTGTATGTACCATAGATGGGAGGCAGTGTGGGCGCGTGCAGGGTGAGATGGAAGTGCAGGGCAGGGGTGGGAAATCGTTTGGTTGGGGGGGGTGATTTTTTTTTTTTTAACAAAAAGCAGAAATTATTTAAAGATTATTTTAAAGCACAGCTTTTATGGTGATTGTTGTCCAGGGTGAAGTGAGGGAGCGTGAGCGTGGCCGATGGCAGGTGTGTTTTTGTCTCTTCACTGGATGTACCTCTCCTGGTTGGGGACACAGCCCAATAAATCCATTGTCTCCCCAGCGGGAGCTCGGAACTCTGGTGTAGGGAGGGCAGACAGGGATCGGGGGAGCTCACTGCACCCATTGTTAAAGGGCACGCGGGGCTAGAGGGCATCATGTGCTTCTCTAGGAGCAAGGTTTGGTCACCCCGGTGCCCTCCACCAGAAGGATGACATCTCTCTCCTCACTACTCCATCCGTGCCCAGGGGAGGTGGGCAGTGGCAGGCTGTGGGACTGACCCAGTCTACACGGGACCAAAGTGTCATTAGAGCCACCTGGAAACTAGGGCAAGTGGGGCAGGACGCAGTAAGGACAGCCACTGTGGGACTGCCAGGGATACCCCAGTCTGGACTCACCACCTCAGTGCCTGTCCCTCCTTCTGTAGCACCCCAATCACCACAACACCCATAACCCAGAAGATGGAGCCTGTATCCTGTAGACAGGTTTCCAGTGCCACTAGAGCTAGTCAGTGCTGCCCCCTATGCCCTGTCAGACCCCATCCCCATGCCAGCAGAAGGAAAATCCACCAGCCAGCACCCCACAGAGCCCCCCCACACCTGTCCCAGGCACACACCTCTCCGAACACACGGAGCACTGCGCCGTCTCCACTGCCCAGCCCTGGTCTCCTGGGACCAGGATCTCCCGAGGGCTTTCCCCGGACCCCCCAGCACGGCAAGTGTGGAGCAATTCGGCAGCAGGCTGTCAGCGAGGGCCCTCATCACCGCGCTAATTTAAAGGCTCTGCAAGGCGGCAGAGCTAATTTAATTAGGTTCTTATTACAGAGAAGGACAAATTGGTCCCCGGGGGGCCGCGGGGTCAGGCTTTCGAGAAGTGCTTTATGGAGTGAAATTTCAATCAGGCTGCTGTGGCAGGCAGGGGGAGCCAGAGGCAGAGCATGCACAAGGACGGGATCTGCTCTCTGGAGTGCCCGCTGCGGGAGATCGTCTCCAGGTCCAGGTTTTTATGGAATTAGTGAGTGTGGGGGAAGAATTCTTTGTCCCATTAGGAGGATGCTGCAGGGTATATGGCAGCTGATTTGGAAGGAGGCAGGGAAAGCAGGGAGGGCTTGGCTCTGAGCTGGCTTCAGGGCAGTGAGAGGGAGGGAAAACATCCATGAGCTGCTAGGGTCTTTCTGAAGCTCCATTAACTCCCCCACAGCTCCATAACTCCACATGAAAAGAATGCTGAGGACAAAATGATGTCCAGCTGACGGACAGGACTTATGGGGGTCTCTCCCTTGCCTGAATGTCATCCTCTGTCTTGTCACTCAGCCCCAGGAGAACCAGGACAGCCGGGGAGCTGCCCCACTGCCGGCGGGCACGTGAAGCAGTCCCATCTCCCAGCGTGCCAGTGCCAGGCGAGGGGTTATCCCAGCAGGGTCCCAGCTGGGCAGTGATGGATGGGGATGCCGGTGGGTGGCCGGCAGAAGGGCCGGGCTGGAGGGTCCCACAATGGATGTCTCTCCATCAATTTGTCCTCATTACCATATAAATGGTGGGTGGGAGGGAGAGGAAGGGCATGTGGCGACAGGAGACACCCCCACATGTTCCCATCTGGGGTACATATCCCCCCTCCCCATCCTTCCAGCCCTGTTAAACCACCTCCGACAACCCCCGGCCTCTAATTCAGCAGAAGAGAGGTTCCACCCCCTATTCAGAGCCTTGAAAAGGCTACAGGGTCCGGCGCTGTTAACAAGGGGGGACACGGTCCCCGTCCCCGCCTCTCCCGTCTGTCCCTCGCCCCAGGGCCTTCTGCCGTGGCAGCGCCAGCCAAGCTCGTTCCCGGCTCCCGGCTGGCCCGCTGGGGAGTGGGAGCGGAGCCTCCTGCAAGGATCCCGTTCGGGGCAGCTTTGGGTGCACAAGGCCGACAGCAGGGCGGGGTGCTGCCACAGCTGCCCTGCTAGGGGCACGTCTCCGGGCATGGCGGTGCTGTGTCCCCATCGTCCCTGAGCTCTGGGTCCAAACAGGTCCCCATGGCCCGCGCGGTGACATGACTGGGCAGTGGGGGTCACCCCACAAGATCTGTGCCTGCGGACATCGACCCACCAGAGTCGCCCCCCAGGAATCCCAGGAGCAGCTGCCCCGCCCGGCCCGGCCCTGCACGCTGCCCGCAGCGGGAGCCGTGCCAGCGCCCCGCTGCCACCTGCACCCCGGAATGAACCTGCTGCCTTTTCGGGGTGCTGCTGCTCCGGGAGCCCTGCCAGCGCCCCGCTGCCACCTGCACCCCGGAATGAACCTGCTGCCTTTTCGGGGTGCTGCTGCTCCGGGAGCCCTGCCAGCGCCCCGCTGCCACCTGCACCCCGGAATGAACCTGCTGCCTTTTCGGGGTGCTGCTGCTCCGGGAGCCGGGCAGGACCCCGCTCTCTGCAGCGCTATTCCGGGGGCAGGCGGGGTGTCCCAAGGCACTGTCCCCGAGCCCACGGAGCCCCGGGACAGCGTGATGTGTGTTGCTGAGCCCGTCCTGCACCCCCAACTCCCTCCACCTTCCCCTCTGTCCCGAGCCCCCCACCTCTCACCCCTCTCTGGACCGCGGCACCTGTGTGACAGCATCGTCGGGAGCAGCCCCACCACAGGTGCTGCAGAACCCCTCTGCCTGTGCGAGGCAGCTTCTCCCGGGCAGGGATGGAGGTGTTTTAGCAGGCAACAGCCTCTGGGTGTCAACCGGAGCCTGCTGTGCCTGTACGAACACGGCGGACAGACAGACACATGCACGCATCCCGCCCTACACATACCTTTATCCCCTGGACAGACACCTGCCCACCACCGCCCCGGACACCCATCAGCTCTCAGAATCGCCATCCGCTGCCACAAATTACTTCCTTTTCAGCTTGTATCCTTTATATCCCAGGAGCACTCACATGTCCACTGTGAGGACAACAGGACGGGCACACCGTCGCAGTGCCCACCCCTGCAGCCATGCCCACCTCTGCAGCCATGCCCACCCCTGCAGCCATGCCCACCCCTGCAGCCATGCCCACCCCTGCAGCCATGCCCACCCACATCTGCCAGCTGCAGAGAGTTCTCTGAACCCTTGGAGGGGCCTGACAACTTCTCCCACCACACATGACGAGCCCTGCCAAGCCTCCTGCTGGTGGGACACATTTAGCTCCCGCTCGCACAGTGTGGGTACACAGCTAACACGTCAAATCCCCCCGTCCCTTCCCTTCCCCCTGCCCCGTCACCAGGACACACTCAGCACCCACAGTGGGTCCCTGCTGCAGAACTGGCAGAGCTGGGGGTGATGCTGGGGGTCCCCACCCTCCAAAGGAGGGAGAGGCAGGCAGGGGCAGCTGGGGACAGTGCAGGGCGCAGCCGGCATCAGTTGCTGCCTCGTGTCTCAGTGGAGCTGGGGACTCCCGGTGCTCTGAGGGCACTCAGCAGGACACAGCCCCAGGGAAGTGGCACCGGCACCGGCACCGGCTGCCACGAGCGCTGCGTGGTGCCACAGGGGGCGTCGGGATGGGGGCTGTGTGACTATGCAGCCACACGCTGGGGACGAGCAGGAATCTAATCAGGGTCCTTTTCCGTAATAAATCATTTGTCTTAATCCAACGCCCTCCCTCCTGCTCTAATAACTCCCAGCACTGGGCCCCACAGCCACAACAATGCAGCTAATGGAACAATTTATTTTCATAATGGTGCTGGTGGGGAGAAGGGGTGGCCGGGGTGGGGGCAGCATGGTCTAGGGCAGGAGTTTCTAATTAGTGAATGAAATTTGATGTAAGGCTGGAGGAAGATGGATTTGCTTCCTGACAAGGGGCCTTTCAGCTCATCAAAGCACCCGAACAGGGAGGTAAATTAAATTATTTCTAATTCTTCACTAACCTCCAGGGAGTCACCCTTCCACCAGCAAAAGATGGGTCCATTCCTGAAATGAAGAGGCACTTGAAGGACTGAGGTTAGGTAGCAGGGACCAAAGAAAGAGATGGGGATGACAAGACGGGATGGGGTGGGACAGAGGAGCAGGACAAGCTGCCATTGACTTTGCTGGAAAAATAGGGAGGGAAAAGGTGTTGATGGAGGGAAGAGTTGCAAATGGTCAATAAATAAACAACTGCAAGGACTAATGACTAATTTGCTGTGAGTTTTCCATCCATCCCTGTCACCTAACTAGACCTGGAGCAGGGCTGAAACACAGCTGGTGCTGGGATGGAGCAGAGCAGCCCAGGGAGTGACACAGGGGGCTGAGGGGGGCCGTGTCTTACTGCAGGGAGCGGGGAGGCAGGGCAGAGCAGCAAGGAAACAGCCCCCCAACCCTCAGGGAATTTGAGCAGGGACAGCACTGGACTGTGAAGGGGTGACTGATGCCGAAGTAGGCAAAGGGCCCAGTGTAGGGGATTCCTTCAGCAAAGGCTCTTGTTCTCATGTCTTGGTATAATTTAAGGCCAACACCAGTGAGGTTAATGCTTGTGGCATACAGCTGTTCTTGGGATGCACAGTATTTTTTCAAAGTGCCCAGCTCCTGCAGTCCTGTGATGGAGACTTGTTTTACAGAACAAGTGCACTCCCTCCCAGCTCTCCCTGTTTTACAGAGAACAAGTGCACTCCCTCCAATTTTCTCCCTCTTGCAGAGAGATCTTCCAGTGTCAACCTGCCACCAGCCGAGATGTCCCCAGTAGCAGAGTGGAAAGAAGTGGTCTTGGTGCTGTGGCTGCAGTCACCCCTGGCTCTCCGTGGAGCAGGAGCATTACAAGCTGTCCCGAGAGCAGCCAGGGCTGTGTCACAGCTCCCCTGCCGCGGGGCCAAGGGAGCCCATCCAGGAACAGCAGGTGGATTCCTGGGGGACTTTCC